ATATTTACGGTGTATATATAATATGTATGATCGGTACTTTTTATATCTCTTTTTGTCCTTTACTTCTCAGATTTCTCTTTTTCTCATGARAAAACTCTCTGCTTCTCTCCTATTTCAAAAAAGACAGTAACCAGTAAAATGTGAAAGGGGGGAAAAAGTGCAAAAGTGAGCGAGAAACTGCTCCTAAAATCCACCTTTTTTGTTGTTGTGATGCTGCAAACAGCTGCTCTAATTTAGCTTCCTGTGTTGTTAGTGCTTCCTGGAAACCTGGGAACACACCGTTCCCACAAATCATTGTTTGTTATTCACTGCCTCTACCAAACACTAATCTGACAACATGTTCAATGGCAAATATTAGGACTCCCTCCAAATATATACACTGAATGCATCTGTAAATGTATGAACCAATCTGTCTACAACCTGCTGGGGCTCGGTGCACGTGTGCACGGTTCGTATCTGTCCGCGGAGCGAGAGTAGTCGGCTTTTTCTTCAGCTTTGGCAGGTTGCGCACAATCAGGGAGTTTGATGTTTGTGGTTTAAGCAGAGGCTAGCTGCAGGTACTAGTGTACTGTCTCCTTTGTCTTCCTATCTGTCAGTCAGCCACAAAACAGGAGCGAAACATCAACTTTTCTGAAACGGTTCCCCAAAAAGGGCGGTGAGCTACAATCGGTCTCAGCTTAACAGATCTGTCTCTATCAAACTCTTTTCCTTCTTACCTCGTACTTTCCACCGTTCGTTTGGATTTAGATTTGAGTCTCTTGCACATTTTCCTTTGAGCCGTTCTTAAAAAGTAGTGGCTCGTTCTGGCCCTTGCCCATTAGGCCTTTCAGAGAGCTGTGTAGGCCCAGCTGGGGCAGGGGCACGGGGGAGGGCAGGGTGCCACACGTGGGCGTCACCCCACAGGTGGTAGCTGAAACCTGGGAGCAGGATATGTTCTGTGACTGAGAGCAGGGCGAGGGGTTGTTGTTGAGGCCCACGCCCGTGCTCATTCCCAGGCCCAGCATGTTGTTGTTGAAGTGATGGGTTTTGTAGTAGTGGTTCAGGTGCTCCGTTCGAGCCAGGTTGGGTAAGTTGACGATCTCCGGATGGTGCAGCCTGAGGCTCTGACCCCCGTTCATCCCGCCGCCTCCGCCTTGCGTGACAGTGGAGCCTCCGGAGATCCCGCTGCCCCGGCCGCCGGCCCCGGCACCGAGCTCATCCTCCACATTGATGATCTCGATGGCGCGAGCCGGACCGTGGTGTTTGTGCAGCTGGTGCTGCTTCCTCAGCTTGTAGAACACCACCAGCATCACCGCTGCCATGAAGGTAATGGCTACGAAGCAGCCGATGATGATCTTGGTGGTCTTCATCACGTCGTCCAGGCCCGAGGCGCCCGGATCGGTGATTGGCACAGTGAAAGTGGGTCGAGTTGCATGAGGAGAGGAGGAGGACCAGCCAGGAGGCAGGGAGGAGTCCGTGGTGGGAACGCCGTAGGGCCACAGCTCAGAGGGGGTGGAGCCAGGCTGAACAGGGATGCTCTCGTTGAAGGGGACTAATGGGTACTCTTTTCCTCCTCCGGGTTCCACAGACTCTACGGTAACTGTTGTGAAGTAGGTGTAGTTGACACTGGTGTCAGCAGCAGTAACGTTGAGGACGGCAGTGGCAGTGGTATTTCCAGCAGCATTGGTGACCATGCAGGTGTACTGACCCGTGTCTCGCAGGGTGACGTTTGTGAAGTTGAGCGTGCCGTCGTGCAGGACGGATATCCGCACACGGTAAGACCCGTGGGTCATGAGCGTGCCGTTGGGGGTGATCCAGTTGACAGAKGTCGTCGACGTGCTCGTGCGACATTTGAGCTCGGCGGCCATGCCTTCGGTGACATTCAGGTCAGTGGGCGGCTCCACGATGACGGGCGCGAAGCAGGTGAAGTGGCTCTGGTCCAGTTCTCCGATGTACTTGCCCTTCAGGACCGGAGGAGCGTGGCAGCGGGCGCAGCAGGTGGTGTTGCTGGGCACCGTCTCTTTCAACCACCAGCTGAGCCAGAGCACATCACAGTTGCAGACCCAGGGGTTGTGGTTGAGGTGCACCCTCTCCAGCTGGTGCAGGGGCGTGAACAGGTCGTGGGGCAGGGAGTGCAGGGAGTTGTGGGACAGATTGAGCTCCTCCAGGCTTTTCAGGTCGTCGAAGGCGTTACGCTCGATGACCGACACCTGCGAGTGCATCAGCCACAGCTTCCGGAGAGACACCAGTCCCTGGAAGGATCCGGGACGAATGATCTCCAGCCGATTCCCCGACAGCTCCAGCTCTTCCAAACGCACGAGCGGCGTCAGTTTTGGAATGTCTTTCAGCCCACACATGCCCAGGTTCAGGTACCGCAGGTTGATGAGACCCACGAAGGCCGCGTCCGAGATGAAGTCCAACTTCTTGAGCTCGCCCAGGTCCAGGCGTCGCAGCGAGGGCACGCGGTGGAAGGCATAGCCCGGCAGAGTCTCGATGGGGTTGTTGCGCAGCCAGAGCTCCCGCAGCTTGCTGAGGTACTCGAAGGCGTGTGACGGCACCAGAGTGAGCCGGTTGTCGAACAGCTCCAGCGTGTTGAGGTTAGGGAGGCCATTGAACGCTCCGACCTCGATCTGCCGTATCTGATTCTTGGACAGCTGGAGGATTTCAAGGTGCCTCAAATACTTGAAGGTGTCGGACTTGATGACCTGCAAGGATGAAAGATATTTAATATTTAAAAAGGTATTCAAACAGTGTTGTATAAAGTACCTCAAAGTGATACTTGAGTAAAAGTACAAGTATCTTATCATAAAAATACTTTGGTAAAAGTTAGTCTTCTCTAAAAATATTACTTGATTAAAAGTCTTAAAGTATACACTGCAAAAAATGTCCACCTAACCAAGTTTTAAAATCTTATATCAGCTAAAAAGTCTTTTTGATCTTGTTTTGAGACTGATTTACTAAACAAGAACTGATTGTGTAAGAATAATAATCTTGTTTTCAGAATGTGTAAGATTATTTGTCTTGTTAGTCTGAAAATTTGACTCAAATTAAGTCAAAAATTTCTGCCAGTGGAGTAAGAAAATTTTACTTGGTAAGATTCTTAAAATAAGAAAAAATGCATCAAATCAAGTATTTTAAGAATCTTACCAAGTAAAATTTTCTCACTCCATTAGCAGAAATTTTTGACTTAATTTGAGTCAAATTTTCAGACTAACAAGACAAATAATCTTACACATTCTGAAAACAAGATTATTATTCTTACACAATCAGTTCTTGTTTAGTAAATCAGTCTCAAAACAAGATCAAAAAGACTTTTTGGCTGATATAAGATTTTAAAACTTGGTAAGATGGACAGTTTTTGTACTTATCAAAAGTAAATTTCTGACACAAAATCTACTTAAGTATTAAAAGTAAAAGTACTGAGTAAAAGTGAGCAGTTAGATTTTACAAAATGACATTTATTGGGAGGTGACTTCTCCAAAAAAATATTTTTAACAGCGTGCAGCTGTGATGGGTTGTGTACAAGCTAACAGGGTGTCCGAATGGTATATATTTATACTTCTCATRCAACCATAATTAAATTCACTCTATCCAGGAGACACWATTTATCAGGACAGTATTTATAATAGCAACTCGGAATAAAATAGGAGTAACGACTTTCTACTTCTTACCTTTTTAAAAAATGTGGTGAGTAGAAAGTACAGATAATTGTGTAAAATGTAATGAGTAAAATTAAAAAGTACGCTGAAAATTAATTACTCAAGTACAGAAACCCAAAATTTCTACTTAAGTACAGTAACAAAGTATTCGTACTTAGTTACATTACAACTCTGGGAAGAAATCAAATAAAACCTGGTGAGAAACACATTCATGGTCCTGTTTTGTTTTTATTTGCAATCAATTTCTGCAGATAAACTGTTCAGCCTTTTGGTTTTTGTGACTCTTACAGCATAATGCAACGGAATGATCTACTTTTTAATTTAGAAGTGAGAAAAAATGCAACAGCTAAAATTWGGAAAGATTTAACTAGTGTCACTTCTGGTTGTTCTTTAATATTTATTTTGATAAAATGTTCAAATTATTTTGTCTGTAAGGCACAAAAAGGTTTGTACCTTAAGAGGGAGGAATGATTTTATTAGTACTCGTCTGTCAGAAGTGCCTCTCCACAGTAATTGAACCCCTGCTGAGAGTTTTTCTCCTGACTGCGGTGGAGTCGGGCCCGGCCGGGGCGACGCATTCGTCAGGCAGCCGCCACCACACACAAACTTGACCTTTGTGCAGTGCTTGTGCAAAAGGTCAGGCGTTGCTCAGTGCTCGCACGGCAGCAACGTCAGCGTGGATAAAGCTCACCGAGGCTTGGCCCGAGGCGGGATCACCATCGCTCTGCTTATTATGCAAAACTGACTCGTTTCACTGATGAAACCTGCAGCTCAGATTGGGATTTATGGAAACAGAGCACCCGTTTTTCTCAAATGACGTCCGGACAAAGTCATGCATGCTTTTATGAATAATTCAATTCGGTTTGTTTATACAGTGCCAAGTCGCAACAAACGTCATCTCMGACTACTGTGCAAAAAAAAATAAAAATAAAAAAACAATCAATCTAAAGAAGCAGCAGATTACATTGAATCACTTCATCACAGTCTACGTTCACACTGCAGGTCTTAATGCTCAGTTCTGATTTTTTGAAAAAAATCCGATCTTTTTGTGTGAACGTTCACATTACATTTTAAATGTGACCTGCATCAG